TTCCGTCTTTTAACCAAAAATCCATTTTCCAAATATTTACGATTATGCCACTGAGCTTCATTTGACCATATCTCTCTCGTTACAACTCCGATTCGAGCCCACTACGTGTCTACGGACTCATCTCACCGTGCTCTACGCAACGGTACAACCGGAATTCCCAAATTCCTTCCGGATAATAAAATGACTAAAATACCCCTATCCCACGGGTAAATTCTTAATTCCACTTAAATAAATTAAACATGGGACAAATTTGGGGTCGGGGTGTTACATGATGAGTTTACAAAACCTATTTCTCTACTCTCACAAAGACTATACTTATTCTCAAAAGACTATATCACTTTACCTCTATCTCTGTAAAATGTAAAAAGTTAAAACTTTAATTTCAAACCTTGACAAAAGATGAACTTCCATCAGTTATGTTGAATTTGGATTTGTTGAACTTAAGTGGTTTTACTTTCTCTGTCAGTGTTTGATGACTTAATTTGGTATTTACTTCTTCTTCTTTTTTCCTTGGAAATGTGTTCCACCAACATGAGGAAGAAAAATATGCACAAATTAATATATTTAATAGAAGCCCAAGATTTCGGAAGCACATAATTTCTACAAAAATCTACAAAGTGTTCTACTTTAAAAACTTATGTCTACCAATTTCTACTAAAATTAATTTATCTGCGGTGCTCAGATTCATCATATAGTCCTTAATTTTAGTGGAAATTGGAAGTTTCCATCATTTTTGTTTTTTGGGAATTTTCTGAACCAAGGATGCATTGTAGGATTGCTCATGCCAATAATTGTACCCTCTAAATATATAGGGACATATTTTTTTTGTTTTCATGACATGTGGTCCTAAAATTATTGTTCCTAGTGGGCTCTGTGTAAATCTTCAATCCTATACGATGCACCTAAAACTCATGTTGCAATACACATCCACCCATTCTCAGGCCAATTATTAATTGCTCCTAGTGGGCTCTGACCCCCTCTCAAATTTAAGTGGTCCATTATTATTAACCACATATTTTATGGACCATCCGGCCGACCTCCGGCACATTTCTCCCACATGCCACAATTGTATATTCACAATTACGTCTGATACGTCACGTCATGCCACAGTGCCACTTGCCTCAAATGAATTTAAGTGAGTGAGGCAGTGGGAAGTAATTAAGCTCTATTGGTCGGTGGAGTGTTACTTCTGGGTACGCCTCATCATTCGTCTATAAAATGGTGAACCCAGTTGCTACTGTTACCAGAAGAACCAGCTCCGACTTTCTTTAATTTCTTGCTTCATATCCACTAGCTACATCTGTTGCCAAGTTAATTTCAGTCATAATGGGGTTTCATCTCCCACTCATCTTTGCTATTCTCAGTGTAAGCTCTGCAATTTGATTAACTTTTCCAGTCTCTCATTGTACTCTATATAAACGAAAGTTTTGTGTTCCTATACTTCTCTTCGATTTTATTTAGTACGTACTTAAGTGTCGTCCACTAATTAATTACACCTTGTGAGATTTGATTTTAATTAGAGTTCGAATTAATGTTGCAGCTAGCAGCGGTTGCACTGGCAAACCATGCTGCTCAACCAGCCCCTCAACTTTACTGGAACTCCGTCCTGCCAAACACACAGATGCCAAGAGCTATCAGTGAACTTCTGCATCCAGGTTTGTGTTGAGCACTTTAGAATCTGAGATATCTCTTCTACCTGCCATTTTACTAAAATATGTCCGACCACCATATTCACAAATCGGCTGATCACTTATTGTCCATTATGACGTCGATATATAATTTGCAGACTCCACAAATGAAGAAAAGAGCAAACCTGAAAATTTCCCATTGGCCAATAAAAATTACCTTCAACAAGGGTATGGAAAGGGCAAACCTGTTCAAAAAGGGTATGGAAAGGGCAAACCTGTTCAAAAAGGGTATGGAAAGGGCAAACCTGTTCAAAAAGGGTATGGAAAGGGCAAACCTGTTCAAAAAGGGTATGGAAAACGTTCTCCTCCATCTGACAATCAACTACTCCATTATAAAGAGTTAGCTATATTCTTCTTCGAGAAGGACATGCGCCCTGGCACAACAATGAAGTTCCAATTCCCTAGAAATTCAAACACGGCTACTTTCCTGTCACGCGAAAGTGCTCAATCGATCCCCTTCTCCTCTAACAAACTACCAGAAATTTTCAACCATTTTTCAGTGAAGCCAACATCTGTGGAAGCCCAAACAATTAAGCAAACAATCGAAGGGTGTGAAGCTCTAGGCATTAAGGGAGAGGAAAAATATTGCGCCACATCTTTAGAATCAATGGTTGATTTTAGCACTTCGAAGCTTGGAACAAGAAACGTTGAAGCAATCTCGACGGAAGTATTGGAAAGTGGAGCCACCATGTCCATGCACAACTATACAACAATGCCGGGACTGAAGAAGTTGGCAGGTGACAAAGTCGTTGTGTGTCATAAGGAGAACTATCCCTATGCTGTGTTTTTCTGCCATGCAATAAAACAAACAGCAGCTTATGTTCTCTCCCTGAAAGGCGATGATGGGGAGAAGGTTAAAGCAGTAACCATCTGCCATCTAGACACGTCAGAATGGGACCCAGAGCATTTGTCCTTCCAAATCCTCAACGTTAAGCCCGGAACCGTTCCCATCTGCCATTTCATTTCCACTGATGCTATTGCCTGGGTTCCAAAACACAAATCAGCATGATCATCACTTAGCACTGTACGTATAATTATCTCCCTACTTATTTCTGCCTCTTCATCATGTGGTGTAAGATATATGATGAGATGAAGTTTTAGGGATTAGTGGTCGGGTTGCCTGAAAAACACAGATTGCAGAAATGCTTGAAATTAACCGGATCATGCTTGAAATTAACCCGATCATGTTTTCTCTTGTAAGACTTCAACTTGTACTCCCCAATGTTTGAGTGTTGAATTGTTACGTTGGAATAGGCTGCTAATGCATGTAGTTAGAGAAGCCTTCATTTATATCAAAGTCCTCAAACTATCAAGAATTAATGTATCCAGAAACATATACCAAGACGCAAAACAACATATTTTCCATGCTCTGTCTGTAACACCAAAGCAAACTTCCTTTATCACATCATTTAAAGCATCAAATTCCAGTACTAATCTAATCCATCATGTAAAGCATACAAGTGCCTCCCTAAATTTGTCCATTGGATATATATATATATATATATATATGTCACTTTTTATTTTTTGATAGAGATATAAATGTTGAGAAAATTAGAGTACACAACTCTAATATGATAGTTGTGCACAACTCTAATATCATAAAGCAAACAAAATTTCTAAGTTAGTTTGCTTTATGATAGTTGTTTTTTGAAGGGGTCCTTAGATCCTATCTCAAAAAGTTTGGCTTTTATTAGGTTTAACTCTGGTTTTTGCACTTCTTTATCTCTACCCACTAACTTTTATACACTAGTAAAAAAAACCCCTTGCGCGACGAAACTCAAAACTTTGTCCTCAAAACCTTGCGCGATAAAATTTTGTGCGACGAATAGTTTTTCGTCGCGCAAAGTCTTGCGCTACGAAGACTTTGC